TTCTGAGATAATCATTATGAAACTTGAAATTTTCAAAAAATCATTACTTCTGAATGGAACATCCCATTTGAATAAATAAAAAAAGAAAATTTTCGTTTTTCTCNAAAATTTCATTGCCCTGCCACTTTTTGTTTCTGAGATAATCATTATGAAACTTGAAATTTTCAAAAAATCATTACTTCTGAATGGAACATCCGATTTTGATAAATAAAAAAAGAAAATTTTCGTTTTTCTCGTACTTCAAGATAAAAAATACTTCAGAGCCGTCAAGAAGCTCCTAGATCGGTGTTTCGAGAATTTTTCGCGTTTTCATTTTTTTTTCACTCTAGGGCCGCTCGATATTCGATCGAAATATTTTTTTTATGATAGAGGATTTCGTTATGTAATATGACAAAAATACGCCATAATGGAAGAGCGAAGCAATGCACCTAAAAAAAAATTTTTTTTTCGAAATTTTTGGGTTTTTCAGTTTTTAGGGGAGATCCATCTGTTTTTTTTTAAAGAAATGAGTCTGTCAACCATTATTATTCGTTCATATATGATGACATAAAACTACACCGTCATGTAACGGAGAAAGAGTGCTCCGAAAAAAAAAATTTTCGTTGAAATTTTTACTGGAAGGGTAGATAGTTGAATTGAACATAATCATCATCGGAAGTTTGCTAAATTATGATCAAACAAATGGGAGGAAAAAACAAACGGAATCAATTAATTGAATTATCGTCATCAGTCGGTTTCAAGGCTTTAATTCTAGAAAAAAAACCTCAACTTCTCGATTGATTTTTCATCACCATCCGATTCTGTGTGGATGGATTACCGAGCTCCTATCTTATTCTCTTCTTGCAACGAGGTAAGGAATTTTCACGTTGATTATATAGAAATGATCTTTATTCTCGGAATTGATGTCTTCGGATTTTATAGAATGCCGCGGAGTGATAGATGTGCGAATCCAATGCGGGCTCCTGGTGAGAAGGGACAACTCGGTTATAATTTACGTCTGATTTACTTGACACTACACAAGAAATTTCCTTTTTTACCATTGTCTGCGAAAATCTGTGGTCAATGCCGAACGAGAGCTCCAACTTATGTCATTCCTCCATCTGTCCCCACGGTTAAACTTAATGCTACACATCTTCAGCGTTCGGAAACTCCACCCGATATATCAATGCTCCAAACCGAAATATGTGATTCAAGTTTGGATGTGATAAACAGTTCTCGGAAATCAGGCCGATTTTTCCATCTTGATAATTCCGGCATATCAATCGACGACGAACCAGACGATGAAGCTGAATTCGACAGTTCTTCCATGGATTATGATTCGGAAGATGACCAAAGTCACATTGATCCATATTCATCTAAGCAGTATCGATCTGCGAGAGAAATAGAATTAGAAGAAATGTTGGATGGTTTGAAGCAGAAATTCAAAGATCTGATAAACTACCGTGAGCGCCTGCAAATCTTGACGGTTCATCCACAGTCGTGGAGTGCGCGGAAAATTGCTTCTGAATTTGGAACTACCAGATACATGGCGTCAAGAGCGAAAAGATTGAGAAAAATTAAAGGAGTGTTTGCTTCACCAATTGCGAAAGCAGGTCATTCACTACCCAGCACAACCGTCGAGAAGGTACACAATTTTTACCTAGAGCACAGTCGCGTCATGCCAGGAATGAAAGATAAAATATCCATCAAGATCAATGGAGAGAAGAAAGTAGAGCAAAAGCGAATGATACTCGAAAATCTAAAAGTCCTTCATCGGAAGTACAAACATGCGAATGAAGATGCTAAGGTCGGTTTCAGTAAGTTTGCCGAGCTGAGACCTAAACAATGTGTAGTGGCGGGAGCAAATGGCACTCACGTGGTATGTGTTTGTACGTATCATCAAAATTGCAAATTGATGCTAGAGGCAATTAATATTGCGACTCTAACTCAAGATTCCCCCTGTCCACTCAGAGATTACAAAGATTGTCTAGCAAAATTGATGTGTACAAATCCAACCCCGGCCTGTCATCTGGATGAATGTAACGATTGTCCTGGAGTGAAATCATTATCATGTGAACTGAAGAAACTTCTCTCTGATTCTGTCGTGGAAATGGTCGAATTTCGCGTGTGGCAAAGTACTGACAGGTATACCTTGCAGACACAGACCCTCCCGATGGATGAATTCATTGATCTTCTAATGGAACGATTGATAGTATTGAAGCCCCATCACTTCATCGCTAAAGAACAATCGGCTTTTGTCAAACAGCGAAAAGAGAATTTGGATAATGGAGAAGTACTAGTGCATTGTGATTTTTCGGAAAATTACGCTTTTGTGGCTCAAGATGCTGCTCAATCCTTCCACTACAATAATGACCAGTGTACAGTTCACCCCGTTGTTTACTACTATCGCGAAAAAAATGAAATCCAACATCGGAGTTTAGTCGTTTTGTCGGACAGTACGACTCACGATACTGCCGCTGTTTATTTGATACAGAAGATTTTAATACAGCATGTGAAAGACAACTGTGAAAGCGTGGAGAAAATGTCATGATGGAGCTGCACAACATTACGAGAATCATTTTCAGATCACGAATCTCTTGCATCACAAGACTGATTTTGGCATAGATGCGCCAGCTCATTTTCATGCAACCGCGCTCGGTAAAGGAGCTTGTGACGGAGTAGGAGCTGTCTTTAAGAGAGAAGTGAGACGTAAGAGCTTGCAAATCGNAAATCTAAAAGTACTTCATCGGAAGTACAAACATGCGAATGAAGATGCTAAGGTCGGTTTCAGTAAGTTTGCCGAGTTGAGACCTAAACAATGTGTAGTGGCGGGAGCAAATAGCACTCACTTGGTATGTGTTTGTACGTATCACCAAAATTGCAAATTGATGCTAGAGGCAATTAATATTGCGACTCTAACTCAAGATTCCTCCTATCCACTCAGAGATTACAATGATTGTCTAGCAAAATTGATGTGTACAAATCTAACCCTGGCCTGTCATCTGGATGAATGTAACGATTGTCCTGGAGTGAAATCATTATCATGTGAACTGAAGAAACTTCTCTCTGATTCTGTCGTGGAAATGGTCGAATTTCGCGTGTGGCAAGGTACTCACAGGTGTACCTTCCAGACACAGACCCTCCCGATGGATGAATTCATTGATGTTCTAATGGAACGATTGATAGTATTGAAGCCCCGTCACTTCATTGCTAAAGAACAATCGGCTTTTGTCAAACAGCGAAAAGAGAATTTGGATAATGGAAAAGTACTAGTGCATTGTGATTATTCGAAAAATGACGCTTTTGTGGCTGAAGATGCTGATCAATCCTTCCACTACAATAATGACCAGTCTACAGTTCACTCCGTTGTTTACTACTATCGCGAAAAAAATGAAATCCAACATCGGAGTTTAGTCGTTTTGTCGGACAGTACGACTCACGATACTGCCGCTGTTTATTTGATACAGAAGATTTTAATACAGCATGTGAAAGACAACTGTGAAAGCGTGGAGAAAATGTCATGATGGAGCTGCACAACATTACGAGAATCATTTTCAGATCACGAATCTCTTGCATCACAAGACTGATTTTGGCATAGATGCGCCAGCTCATTTTCATGCAACCGCGCTCGGTAAAGGAGCTTGTGACGGAGTAGGAGCTGTCTTTAAGAGAGAAGTGAGACGTAAGAGCTTGCAAATCGTTCATGGCGAACCAATCCTCACGCCAGATGCTTTGTTTCGATGGTCAAAAGAGAATTTTGAAGAAATTGATGTTTTTTTTTCACCAAGGCAGAACACGAGAATATCAAAACTGAGTTGAGAGAGAGATTTGATATTGCCAAAGCTATTCCAGCCATTCAAAAACATCATTATTTTATTCCGATACCGGGAGAGCAATTGTTAATTAAACGATATTCGGCTTCGGCTAACGAGGAGGTTTTCCCAAAGCAAAAACAAACAAAAACGAAACGATAAACCCGCAGAAGACAGTAATCGTGATGTAAATAATTCAACAGTGCATGTAGAAATTTGTCGTTGAAGAGAGTGGAGGATTTCTCCGTATTGTAAAAATATAAAAATGTGAAAATATAAAATGTCGTTATAGAGGAATAAAAATTGTTTTTTTCTCATACTTTTTCGTTAGTGGAAAGCACAGTGTGTTGTTGAGAAAAGATTTATAGTCATATCAATAGTCTATTCTATCCAGCAGAACAGAAAATGTCTATTGACAAACCCCTTTTTCAATAACTACAATGCAACTCTCCTAAACGACAGACAAACGTAAAAATTTCGAAGAAAAATTTTTTTCGGAGCATTCTTTATCTCTTACATGATGGCGTACTCTTTTGCCATCATATATGAACAAAGAATAATAGTTGTTGACAGACTGATTTCTTTGAAAAAAAACCGATGGATCTCCCCTAAAAACTGAAAAACCCAAAAATTTCGAAAAAAAAAATTTTTTTCAGTGCATTGCTTTGCTCTTCCATTATGGCGTTTTTTTCATATCATACAAGGACATCCTCTATCATAAAAAAAATATTTCGATCGAATATCGAGCGGCCCTAGAGTGAAAAAAAATGAAAATGAAAAATTCTCGAAAAACTGATCTAGGAGCTTCTTGACGGCTTCGAAGTATTTTTTATCTTCAAGTATGAGAAAAAACGAAAATTTTCTTTTTTTATTTATCAAAATCGGATGCTCCATTCAGAAGTAATGATTTTTTGAAAATTTCAAGTTTCGTAATGATTATCTCAGAAACAAAAAGTGGCAGGGCAAGGAAATTTTGCATGATCACTGGCTATATGTAGTAGTTCAAAATGCACCTACTCAATGATTTTTCCCAGACAAAAAAAAATTGGTGTGGCTGAGTTGACATGGAATGTCCCATTAATAAAAAATAATCTTCCTCGTATCTTGGACGATGAATCTACTTTGTTTGACTAAAAAATCTGTTCCTTTATTTTATAGAAAGATGTATTGTTACCAAATGGCTGAACGTTTTGATCATTTATTTCACAGAAATATTGAAATAATACAGAAAGTTACCAGTTCCAAGCAGTCACGCAAACGAAAAAAAATTGAGCATGAAGAATCCGAGTGTGGTATAAGACTTCTCCGATCTTCTGGAACTATCCTCGAAATGGTTGATAGAACTGCTGCCACAGATGAGTACAATTGTGGACCCAGTCGGCAGAAATACGTAAAAGAAGTGAATTGCAAGGATAATAATTTGCGATTTGAAGAAGCCGCCATTGACCCGCAATACCTGCTTTCTAAAGCTGGAACTAATTTTTGGATTAACAGAAGAAAGGGGATCGTGTATGAATATAAAAAATTACCTGATGGAACATTAATAGAAAAATAATATGTAAATAAAAAATACAATGATTATCCATTTTTTCAACCACACGCCTCGAATGATTCGAATTTAAGACCCGGATGGAGGTTTCAGCAACCCCCTTAACCCACCCCCCGGTATTTCCAATCTTCTAGATTTAGTGGATAATGGTGAATGACCTGCACTTGTTATTTATTCCATACACAAAAGAATGAATAAATTCCGGAAAACCAAGTAAAGCGACAGTTCTATATTAGTCTATTTTTGATTCTGAATGGAAGCTTTGTAATCGTTCAAAATTAAGTTTCTACAGTTTTGTGTCAGGGTAACTAAATATGGTCTAAAAGTCTAAATATACGATTTTTCGATGGCGTCTGTATGTATGTATTATAACGTGTTATTTTAGTTTTAGACCGTTCAACGGTGAAATTTCAACGTTCAGACGATAAGTCATTTTTTTCCTAGCCAACCAAGAGTTCATTTCATTTATCTTGATTATTTTTTATTTACACCTTATTGTTTTGTATCGAACCATATTGACTGCTCATCGGACGATATCGCGGGATTTGGAGCCTTGGACAGTTTATAAGGAGCTGGAGAGGAAATTCCGTTCTCAAGTAGGGAGTTCTGGAGTCTCAGAGGTCAAACACGGCTATCGAACCACGTTACATTCAAATTGGTTGAATGGTTCCCGCGGTGGAGGGAGCTATGTGGACGATCGAGTGGCGTCGCTAGCATTGGAAATGGCTAGGGATATGAAACATGGATCTCTATCCTAACTGGATAACCTATCCTGTATGACACTGGTGGCCCAAGTTGGACGTTCAGCCAGCGCCTCCATTGTATAGCCTAGGAACTAGGCGCGCCGTCGGCGCGCTTGCGCGACCGTAGTCGCATAGTGGGGGGTGGTAATGTGACCTGGTAAAGTTGGAAAATTGAATGGTTATTTTTCTGATGTTGTATTATACAAAATCCAGATTTGAAGGGAGGATTTTTATTGTCGTCAATTGAAATGATAACTGGGACGATTGGCGGGGAGAATAAACACAGAAAGTGGAAAAACCATTCATCTTCCGACAAATTTTTACATGAATATACATCCTCTTTTTAAAATAGATATTGTGTGGTGCAATTAGCTGACATTATCGTTACAGGAGAGGATGAAACAAAAAGATAATAGAAGCTCGATTTTGATCAGGTTTAAGTGAAATAGCATGGGCGGAATGATAAGGACAATTCGATGCAGATCTAATTGAAATATAATAAAATAAAATGAAAAAATCTAATTGAAATAATTAGAAAATAATTTTCTAATTAGATTAGAAAATAATCTTTTTCTGCAATAAAAAATAACACGTGTTATATATTAAAATTATTTTTCATAATTTCAAGGACTAATACAATACAACAACGACATTATTCAACAGACTGTGCGAACTATATTACTGCCAGTTTTATTGTTTTATCACCATTAGTGAACTTCTCATATCTCCAAATTATTGCCTTGTATTTTCGAATGCAATTCATATTTACACTTTCTTTTTATTATGATTGGAGCCTATGTTTCATATACATTACCTCCTGCAATATCTACTTATAGTTGCATTACACATTTCACTGATACAAAATCAGAAACTTATGGAAAGACGATTCTTTCGATTTGGTGGATCTTTTTTTCCAGTATTCACACCGAACCATTTTTATAAAAGTTTACAGAATGAAAGGAATGAATTATTTCCTACCGTCACTGACAATTGAACTCTTCCTAAAGACATTCGTCGATAGGTAATGCCCAGGTATTCGCTGTTGATTGACAGTCACCGTAATGACAGATATTTGGGGGTTATGGGACCGGACAAATGACAGATAACCATCGCTACTATCTAGCATTCCAGTCGCGCAAGCGCATTGAGGCATCCTGTGGTTCCGAGGCCATACAAGGGAGGCGCTGGCGAACTATTCAAGGCCCTCAGTTTCCAGCGTACTCGGCCCGTAAGAATCACTGATCTCTACAGGGTGTCCGGCAACCTACCTTTTTCCTTGAAGGGTATTAGAGTATAGAATATTTTATAGGTTTTAAATGAATTTTTTATGAATGCACAATTAGATGGATCCGATGGAGTAAATCTAAAAAATTATCTCCTTATAAATTAAAAGAAAAAGGGGAATTCGATGTGGAAATGTCCGTAGAAAAATATATAATAATACTCTTTACCTGTTTCCAGGAGTCGTCAATCAAAAAGGAAAAATAATAAAGAACACATATATAAAACAAAATATCACAAAAAGAATGGATTATTCGAGAATAAATTCTTGATACGACGTCGTTTATTCCATTAATTCATGATGAAAGTATTTAAACATAAAAATATAGGCCTTGAAATAATCACGCGCACACACTCACATACCTTCCAAATTTAAATTAGTCGAAAATATTTGATCCGATCGGATTTGGTCAAAATAAATAATTTTATAAAATCAATGAAATATCGCTGAAAGGAAAATATTAAATTCAAACATTTAAATGATCAGTATGAATAATTATTGTGAAATCTATCGCGCGAGCGTCCCTAACCATCAAAATTCGATATGATTGCGAATGAATATAATAACTGACCGTTTGGCTTAGTGGTTCGAAGGCAAGAGGTAACGTCGCTGAGATGTTCAGTAGCCCTCGCTGAGGTCCAGCAATAGTAGATTGAGTGGGGGAACCGAGTGAATTTTCACGGGCGGGAATATTTGACAATCGCGAATCATTACAAGAAAGGGTGCTTTTTAAACTGGAAAGTTCCTCGTTCATTTTTGGATCCTAGCATTTTTTTTTGTCTGAATTTTTTTTTAGGGGATTGAACTACTAATTTCAGGGGCGAATTTTTTTTTTAATTGCTAAATTTTTTTTTGTCTTTTTTTATGGGACATGACCTTGCAACTAATTGACCAGAGAGAATGGAATTTACTTGCGAAATAAATCAGTATGATCCAAAATTACTTCTGATTGTTCTTAATTTTTACAATTATGTTAGTAATTGATGAGTAATTAATTATTTGGAGCTAAATTTATTTTATTAATTCAATAATTTGAAATTTATTTGTTTTATTTACTTTATTTTTTTTTTTCATTTGAATTTAATATTACTTTTTTTACATGAAGTACAGAGGCATGTACTGAGGGGTGAAGGAGGGGGGGGG